AGCTTTACACAAAGTTGGTAAATAAGGAGCACCAGCTTTATACAAAGTTGGTAAATAAGGAGCACCAGCTTTATACAAAGTTGGTAAATAAGGAGCACCAGCTTTATACAAAGTTAGTGTTAGGGTAGAGAAAGTGAATTGGTATGGTATAACATTTTCATGATATTCATTGAGGAGGTTCTGTAGCTTAAATATATATGAAAACTGTAAGATGAAAAAGTGTTTTCATTCTTAGCATGAAATCACCTTTTGTTCAGACTGACTGACTTTATCTCAAATTTGAAAAATCATCAAACCTTATGTAGTGGTCACTTTCCCAAGTGTTCTCCTACTTCCAATCATTAGTAGTTAACAATAAATCTAAAATGATATTGTCTAGTTGGTCCTCTGACCATTTGGTACAGAAACCTAAATCATTTCAAGAAATCTCTCTTCCTTAATATTTAAATCGAAATAATTGTTGAAATCTATGTGAAATTTTTTAATGATTTGATTTCTCACGGTAGGAAAAGCTCAGCAGTTCGCACCAGATGCCATGGAAACAGAGAGTTCTGCCAAGTCTGGAAGTGAAGTTACAGAAGTTTCAGAAACTGTAACCAGTGAGAGTGATGTGGCAAGTAAAAATTCTGTAAACAAACGAGGCAAAAAGAGACGCTTGAAGACAGAAATAGCGCACAAACCCAAAAAAATAAAAGGTAAATGAAAGAAATTTACAAATAATTTGAGAACTGTACTTATGGCCTATTTTGCATGTAATTTCAAGTGAAATTGATGGTTTTATCATGTATATTCCTAATTATTTGTAATATGATTTGCAAAATATACATTCAAGCAACTTTCTTTATCTCTGTGACTTGAATAGTAGTACAAGTTTCTATCAGTTAACATTATTTCTAAATAATGTTGTTTAAGCTATAGAAAGTTTGTTTTGAATTTCTATTATCTTGACATTGAATGAAGATTGCATCTTCTGGATGAGGCTTTTAAGCTGAAATGTCATTGACATTATATTAGTTATTTTTAATGTCTAAACAATGTTCCACTTAGCATTAGAACAATGATGAAACTTCTTCTTAGTACTTCTTGAAGTTCCAAAGTTACCTACAAGAAAAGGTTTGGTATTAACTGTTGGCCAGGGAGATGTTGGACAGCTTGGACTTGGGGAAGATGTGTTGGAGAAGTCCCGGCCAGGAGTTGTAACTTCTATTCCTGATCCTGTGGTGAACGTAGCTGCTGGAGGTATGCACTCAGTGTGCTTAACAATCAAGGGAGAGGTAATAATAATTTCTTTACCCGGTATAACTAAGTTGTGGTCAATTGTTATAGTAGCATTCAGTTTTAAATGCAAGTATATACCCTTGTGTGTGTATGTCTAAAAAACCAAGTTAGGGTACACAAACATTTTAGTGACAGGGAGAACACCTGGATGTTGTTGATGATAAGGTAGGAAATGATGGGTAGCATTTTACTTCACATTTCTTGTAAAAAATACTATATGCCAACATAATTTTCAGTTTCTGTGAGTTTTTTTAGTGTATATAGCTGGATGTAAGAAAGAAGCCATTGTCAGTTTGTTTTTCTGTTAATTGCACATGCTTTTTACATAAGAATAAGGTAACTGGTTTTTTGTGATAAACTTTTGAATGTCAGTGTTCTTATTAACATAACATAAATTTATGACACAATGTTATTTTACTTCTGTATGAAACAAATACTTTGATGAATGTACTAAATCTCAGGGCAGTTTAATAACATTATTTAAAGTGAAAGCAGGATGATTCTTTGAAATAGTGTAGCGTAACATGATCAGGCAGACCCATCGTGAAGGAAAAGTATTCCTTATTTTAACCTCTTGCACATGAGAGAATTGCATTCAAAATTTAATCTAACTGTTTTATTACTAATATATGTTAAACTTGACATCAAAACATAGCTTACAATTCAAATTTTTATATAACTTAAGCTTTAATTTCTTGATTTCAAAAGGAAATATTTAAATAAATTCTGAATCTGAGTAACATGGTGCTATGGCTTCTTATTAATAGATATTTTTTC